CTTGCTCTTTCTCCTCTCTTCAATGCCCTGGGGAGGCTGAGTATGAGTTTGGAGACAGCTGCTCCTGGGGGCTCTTCGGTGTTGGCTCACTGTTAGGGCACAACCTAGCCCCAACACATGGTACTCCTTCTCTTAAGGCATAGCTTTAGCTATGTGTCAAGATTTAGTTATCTCAGACCAAGTTCCCAAATGGCTACATTTTCTCCTACCCCATTATGACAGATCTTTCTTATATATGCATTAAAAAATAGTTAGCTTTGAAAATCTGCAATGTCTTTTGTCTGCTTCTGTTTCCTAAGAGATCCTGAGAGAGGGTGTCAAGTGATGGCACAGAGCCTTGGTCGAGGAGTGTGGACCCCAGTCCTAACCCATTGGGTAATAGAGAACTAGGACTCTCTAATCCCTGCCACATGCAGTGACCTGAGCAGATCCTGCAGGACAACAGAAGTCTTGCTGTCTCCTCACCGAGCAGTTGCTCAGAACTCATGGTACAGCTGTGGTCTGCTTTGTTGGGACACACTGGGTGATTTGATCCTTTAATCTCTTCTCTCCCTATAGGTATTATAAATAACAACTGTTCTGTAGGAGTACCTGCCAGAAGGGATTGAGATCTGCATTCTATATTCAAAACAGCATTGTTTTTGTATAATCTTAACTTTATGCAGTTATGGTGGGGGCAGGAGAGGGAGAAGGAGAATAAAACCCTAAAAGCAAAGCTACTTCACTATGACTCAGAAAATCCAAACTGAAGAATTTAGAATGGAAATCAAGGAAGGCAAGTTTCTTTAAAACCTCAGATTCCTTTGAATTTCTCTGAGAAAACAAGAGGCATACATAAGTCCAGATCCTTTAGTCTATTCATTCCAAGTTAAACAACTGCATCAAAGTTTTGGATCCAGGCAGACACTAGCGGTGAACTGGAATTCTAGCATTGCACAGTGGCTCCCAAATGTTTGATACCCTTTGGTTTCCATTTCCTTAAAGCTGAGGTAGTTAAATTGTTCTGTTTTGATTTCTATGTCTGGATTCTTGAGACACTGTCATCTGTTTTAGAGCTCTCTAAGAGAGCAGAGAGGTAGCATTCCCACCAGTCATCCTGCAGAGGAGGCAGTGGTGACAACAAACTCTCATTGTTATTACATCGACTGATATTTCTTTCTTTCTACCTTTAGTTCTAGCTACTATATTTTGCAAAACCGTGGGGGATCCATGGACAAATATGTAGATGTTTTAATTATGCATATTTTTTAAATTGTAAAATTGTGGAATCACACAATATTTGTCCTTTGGTATCTAGTTAGTTTCACTGAGCATAATGTCTTCAAAATTCATCCATGTTGTAGCAAGTGTTTCACTGAGCATAATGTCTTCATATTGTAGCAAGTGTCAGAATCACCTTCCTTTTTATATATTTTTTAAGATTTATATATTTATGCATACAATAACTGGGGTACAAGCCGGAGGTTTGGGGTGAAAGGGTTCACCAGAGACAGAGTGGGGAGCAGAACAGACAGATAGACAAAATATACTGCTGAGGGAATCAGCGGGTGCGTCAGCTCCCTGGCCGGGGATCGAACTTGTGCTGCAGTGACTGTGGATAGCTTCATAGTGTTGCACTTTAACCTCTTTTACCACCAGGGAGGGCCTGCCTTCCTTTTTAAAGCTGAATAATATTGTAGTGTATGTATAAAGCACATTTTGTTTATCTCTCTATAGACAGTTGTGTTGCTTGTCACTCTGGATGCTGGGAATAAAACGGCCATGTGTTTGTCAATATACAAATGTGTTTGAAAGCCTGCTTTCAATTCATTTTTTGTGTCTATAACCAGAGTGGAATCTGACCATTGTAGGTTAACTCATGTTGAAAGTTTTGAGGAGACACCATAATATTTTCCACAGCATTTTACATTCCCACCAGGATTCCAGTTAACAACACCCAGGAGTCCAGTTTCTCCACACCCTCACGAACACTTGCTATTTTCTGGTTTTCATTTTGTTTGTTTTGTGTTATGATAATAGCAGGATGACCACTGTGGTTTTGATTTTCATTGTTCTAACAACTAATGACATAGAGCTCTTTTTGGGTGCATTTTGGACATTAGTATATCTTTTTAATTTATCCAAGCCATTAACCCATTTTTAATCTCCATATACATATATATTCTGGACATTGACCTCTAACTAAATATATGACTTGCAAGTACTTCTCCCTTTGTATGGACGGGTTGTCTTTTCACCTTCTTGATAGTGTCCCTTTGATGCACAAAAGCTCTTAACTTTTGAGAAGTCTGATGTATTTATTTTTTCTTACTCCTTTTGCTTTTGGTGTCTTATCCAAGAACTCATTCCCAAATTATTATTTAAATATTTTAATGTGCATAATCTTGCTTTGTGAAACCACAAAAACTGTTACTTGGGGAAATTTTGCTTTGAAGTGGCTCGGCTCTTTTTTACTTGTTTGGCCTTTATATAATCTCAGAATTGTTGGATTTTACTTTTCCTTGCTCTACTATCCCTTTTCTCAGGGCATCACAAAGACTCATTATAGATAAAGAAGGAGAAAGGCTTAGTTTGAAAAGGCCTCCAATCATTTATTCCATAGGGTCTCAGAAGAGAGAAGTCAAATTTCTGGGGAAATGAAATGGTTCTTACGACCAAGACTCACAAGATATGTATGAAATCAGACTGACTGGTATTTGTCTGAGAAGACTGAGATCTATTTTCTAAGGTCTCTTTTTATCTTCAGGGTAGAAAGATTGTTGAAAAGTAGGTAGGTCCTAGGGATGAACCTCTAGGAAACTGACACTCAGACTCTAGCCCAAGGATACAAAGAGGTGTGAAGATAGCTTAGAAAATTCTCCTCCTGCTTGTCAGTTTCTCACTATTCACTTCTTATTTTTGGATTATATTTTGTACACAGATCTACCATCAACCGTACCACACATCCAAAATACCATAAGCATTATTTGATGTATATATATAAGATGCAGCTGGAGAGTACATAATAAACATACACAGTCTACCGTATACATGTATACAGTGTCACCCCAGATGAACAAATGAAATACAGAGAGAGAATACCTCAAGGACATGCTTTTTATGCTTGATTATTCCCAAAGTGTCTATTTACAAGGTATATATATATATATATATCTTAGGCTTTCCCCATTACTCATGTTGCAACAGTATGTCACAATTTCTGAGCCATTAGGCCCTTTTTTTTGTTTGTTTAAGATTTATTTATTTATGCATACAGAACTGGGTTACAGGCCAGAGGTGCAGGGGCAGCGAGAGGCTTCACCAGAGACAGAGTGGGGAGCAGAACAGGCAGATCTACGAAGTACACTGCTGAGGGGAGCAGCGGGTGGGTCAGGAGAGGTCTGCTGCGCCATGTGGTCACCTCCGGGGGCAGGCGGGAATCGAACTCATGCAGAAGTGGCTTTAGCTTCTCAGTGCTGTACTTTAACCTGCTGAGCCACCAGGGAGGGCTGACATCAGGCTCTTAAACAATCTGGGTTAGGTGAGTATATGTGTGTTTCCCATTGGCATGTGTTCAGATATGAGATTGTTTGCTGCAAACAATCCAGGTGTTTGTACATCTGGTTTGCAGAGTGATTTTGTGCACCTGTAGAGTAACTTGACTTCGGGATACACACACGTGTGATGTCTGAATTTGTGGAGTTTTAAAAGTGGAGTGATACTTTATAAAGTAGGGTACTTTATAAGGGCAACCCTTTCAGACAAACTGCCATTTAATTAGCAGATCCCCACTTACCTATGTAAACAGACATGAAAGAATCAATGAACAGCTTTACTGGACACTAAGAATGATGGCAATAAGTTTCTCTAATATGCATGCTACAGAATGACACATTAAATTCCTAAAATCCAATTTGGTGTTTGGTTTTCACACATAATTGTTTTTGTTCTTAGTAGCCAAAGCATTCAAGGAACTCTGTATCCTAGGATGCTGGCTTCTAGATGTTGTGGGTTACTCGTACTTTTTAAAGTCATAATTACATCAAGCAAGAAAATACTTTCAATCTGCAGCATCCTATCATAACTTCTAATTTTAATGGTGCAAGTAGCCAGAACAACAGACCACAGCCCAGCCTCCTCCTAACCCTGCCTTACTCCTTCCTCTCACATTGTACTTCTCTAGCATGAGTTCAGTGAAGAGCGGTGGAGCCCAAGGAGGGAGAGAAGCAGAGTCAGAACAGACCGCCAAGCCCTGCTCCCAGCTTCCTGGCATCAGGGAAAAAGTGTCTTCAGCTGACACAGGGGCTTGTGTCCGCCAAGTTTTGCGCTTTTGCCATGGAAATCCTGGTTGTAACAGAGGCCGATGCCATTCAGGCAGTGAGCAGGAAGCTGCTTTATGGGGAGGCATTTTTGGCAGCATGTCCGACATACACTCCAGTCAATCACCGTAAAGTGCCTAATAACAGATGTGGTAATTAAGCCTGAAGAACTGTGTCTTTATTTTTTTCATTTTTATTGCAGGGAATAACAAACTACCTCATTAAACCTCCAATCACACTGATTTTTGAATTGGGCATACTGATGTCATCAAAAGTGACATTTCTGCAAGGGCTTCCTTTCTGCTGCCATGGAAAGGTTTGGATCAGTTTTAGTGAGGACAGTTCTGTTCCTTCTGGGCTGTCCTTTTCATTCTCATACCAAATCACATGCACATTCCTGGGGTACAGTCAGATTCCATTAAGTCCATTGCATATAAAGTTAAGATGTGTGTGTGAGACTATAAAATGGTCCCTAATTCTCTTAGGTTCAAATTATACTGCTTATAGAAAGAAATTAACTTTAGCTTTCAATCTTAGAAAGGTTTCAGATAACCTGAATCCATGGTAAATTACCATATTTTAATAGGATAAATTATCTTGGAAAAATGTAATTACATCTGAAAAGGTCTGTCTTTTATTATGGCAGTTTCTAAGGCAAATGTCTTTCTTCATTAAGGTTGTTTTTCCTTCCTTCTTTTTTAGTGATGAACATGAATCTGACTCATCATTAACGATAAGGAATCTAAAAATTTAATGACTTGGGACAGGTATGTGCCCTCAACAGTTTGAGAGTATGGCTCAAAACTCTCTGGGGCTCTTCCTGGGTTCAGAAGTTGTTCTTTGTGACTGTGGGGCTCTTGGGAAAGACCAGCAAACACTCTGCTCATTTCCGACATATCTCTACATAGTGCTGTTGGATCACAAAGATTTAGAAGTTGCATTTATACTGTGGAAATGATTTTTTTGCTTCTCTATAATCTCATATGTTCACAGGCATAAAGATTTGGACAGATGCTATATTAAATATTTTGGAAAGGTCTTGGATCCCATTTTGTAAAATTATCAATTGATACCCTTATTTCCTGTACATGCTTTTGAGTTGTTACAAAATTGCCAAGAGAATTGCTAGTTGACTGTTTGCCTAATTCTCTGAACCTGATCCCATGAAGCAGATGATTCATAGCACTTAATCAAGATTTAATTTAATTTCAATTCTTATATTAATAAACATAAACTTGACCTGCTCATCTGATTAGCTCTGAACAAGTGAATCTAGCATCTATAAATGTGGATATGCACACATAACATGTACCAGTACCAGCCTTAATAGTGCTATCTCACATTTGTTTACTGATCTGACACCTAATTTTATAATTCACTTTTACCACCTTTATCTACTTATATAACAATTTATACATTGATGTCCAACATGAAAGTAGATATATGTAAATGCAGATTATTTTACCATATTAAAATTTGTTTTAAGAAACTTTCTGTACAGTGAGTGTCAAAAAGTGAGACCTAGCTCCAGTAGTAGGAAAGGCCCTTGGTTAAGCATAGACACTGTCCCCAGGATTATTCAGTTATTCAGATTCACAATAGCGTTCTTTTTTTTTTTTTTTTCTAAAACTAGCAACATATTCTGCAATGATATAGCTCATGCTTTAGTTATAGTCCAATGTTGGGTAAATCTTTCTATCAATTCATGAAGATGCCTTTAAGATGAAGTGAAAACTTGGCCTACCCTGGTCTCCCTCAGCTGAAGTTTTGCTCCAAGGGACCCTGGTTTCCAGCTGAGCATTTTTTTTTCCCCCAGTCATGGATCCCATTTGTAGTTTTAAGTCCCACCTCACACTTCCAGGCTCATATCAACTATCTGTCACTTCTAGGGATGCAATGCCCTGACTGCCCTTCAACCCCTCAGATCACTGCCAATACAATGTTAATGTTGCACATCCTATAGCCCCAAGATTGGATTTCACTCAGTTAACATTCATGCTCTGCATAACAGCCTCTCAGTCAACAACAAATGGCATATACAACCATGCTCCCTGTATATAGCCTGAGGATGTAGTTGTCTGTACCATGGAGCCTTGTGTAAATGAACTCGGTGATGTTTGCATAATGACAGAATCACTTAATGTTACATTTCTTTGAATATATTCCTGTACTCATCGTTAAGTGACACATGTAGGTATTGAGTATCTGTCATATATATATATATATATATATATATATATATGTATGTATGTATGTATAATAAATATATGCATAAATACACATATATGCACATGTGTATCCTATGATAACTTCTAAGTTTAATGGTGTACTCATGTATATATACATGTATATATACACATACACACGTGTGTATATACATACATACATGTATACACATACACACACA